CATGCACACCTATCTAAACAGGATAATTTCTTTTAAAATGTGGCAACATAGTGTCATTTTAAATTATTGAATGTATTATGAATTTTGTCTACCGTTCAGAAAAAAAGATGTCTGTGCAATGTTGAAAGGTAGGATGTGAATAATACAATTAAAAAATTGAGACTTTGGCGATTAAAATGTTACTACTTACTTGGAGAGCTAAGGACAGGATTTTTTCTTTTTAAGCTTGCAAATTTTCTAATGACAGTATGTCTTCATTTGGGATCTTCTTTAAGAAAATAAAAGCCTTTCATGGAGAAGTCCGGTGTTCATCAGTGACATTATCAGTTACACACCGGTGCTTTCCTCGAGGGAGCGGGGTGTTTTTATTGTTTATATGCCAGAATTTGCCAACCATCCTAATTTCCAGGCCAGGTGTTCAAGCTCTGACAGTCATGGTAGCTACTGAAACCATTTTTGGATGACTGTTGGTGGTTTTTTTTTAAGGAAAAATTCTTTGGCTGTTTAAAGCCAAATTCTGTTTATTTCTAATTTAAATGGGCACCGTCCGTTGAGAAATGTACAGTGTATCGTGTGCTTACTTGTCCACTTTTGTGGAGCATTGCTACCCTATTTTTTCAGAAGCTGTGCTGTAAGATATTGTCATAGTGCTACCTACCTAGTACAGTGTAGTCCTTCCCTTCCATTTAAATAAAAAGCATGGCACCAAAAACAATGTTGCGGTTTCATTTTTTGGTACGCGTTTTCAGTTTATCCTCTGAAGCCATTAAATGTATACGTTTATGGTTGGCAAAAGGTTTTGCCGGCTTGCAGTTTGTGAAGGCATCTCTGATCTGAGCAATCAAATGGACACTTCTGGGAGTGGGCTGGGTCTGTTGGTTTGTGCTGGCACTGGCTTCTCTGTGTCATGGATGATGGAGGTGCCAGCTCAGTATCCAGCATACTCTGTCACGTCAGCCAGGCAGAGGCTGCTTACTGAGGAGGTGCCTGACCAGAGATGTCCGATATCACGGGGGTAGCTCACCTCTCTGACAACCCACTTGAACCTTCCCCAGGATCCAGCTCCTGACTCGCTTGAGACCCCTCCTCCAGCAGAGGCATTCCTTGAGATCCCAGTTTCACCTTCCTCAGCCCACCTGGGTCCTCTTGTGGGTTATTAAGCTCCAACTCCCTGTTTTACTTAACACCCTCCCAAAAAAACCTCATAATTGGCCCATCCCCTCTGTGACATCTCCATGGGGCTCATGACAGAAGTCAACTCAGAAGGCAGCATTTTAGCCAGAGTTGACTTGAAGGTTTTGTTAGCTACAAGTGAACTACATCCATTTGACATGCCCTGCTTTCATCATGGGCACAGGTCAACACTGAACCAGAAAATTATTATTGGCTTGTTCAAAGGACACACACCACAGGAGCGCTGCGGAGGTGCTCGATAATTTCTTTCCATTTAGGCTGCATACACACTATACCTTTAAAGCACACCCTTTTCCACAAAAATTATGAACACTAGTTTACCCCTTTCAGAGTTACAGTTCCCAAAAACCTTGATTGCCAGTGTGGTGTAGTGGTTAAGAGTGGTAGATTCGTAATCTGGGGAGCCGGGTTCGCTTCTCCGCTCCTCCACATGCAGCTGCTGGGTGACCTTAGGCTAGTCACGCTTCTCTGAAGTCTCTCAGCCCCACTCACCTCACAGAGTGTTTGTTATGAGGGAGGAAGGGAAAGGAGAATGTTAGCCGCTTTCAGACTCCTTCGGGTAGTGCTAAAGCGGGATATCAAATCCAAACTCTTCTTCTTCTTAACAAACTAAACTAGTGCCCAGAATTCTTTGAGGGAAAGAATGTGCTTTAAAGGTGTTGTAGCCTTGTGCTAGAAACAACCTGTCTTATGTTATAACTGGATAAGCAGACTACAGAGCTTGTTCATGCTTTTGATTCAACCAACTGATTAAACCGGGGTGCAGATGAGATGGGACCATTCATAAATCTCCTAAAAACTTGCACTTGCTCAAAATTATCATTTATCTCTTGCTGTAATGAAGCTCTAATTCTACCATTGTTTTTAATGAGCGCTTGTGTGCAAATTACGATACATCAGTTTATACAGCTTCTTATTAATTAATTAATTCTCTGCACCGCCTTTCATCAGGATCACAGGGCGGCTAACAATATAAACACAATCCTTATAGCCCAATCCTAAGCTGCATATTTACAGTAAATCCTACTAAGTCCAGAGCTTGTCCCACATGCTTTTGTGATCGGGCTGTCACCAAAGCATCATTTCCATGGCTAATTCTTCCCCTTCTTTGTCAAACATATTTTAACACTTACTTTGTGATGCAACATGTTCTGAGTTTCCCTGTACCGGCGCTATAGGACTGGCTGATGGGGAAGCTCACAATTTGATGTAACGTCACGGAGTGAGAGTTCCTGACAAAAGTGCTAATCCTTTTCAGTATTGATGTTTTGAAATATGTTAATATACCTGCATACTCTCAGCATACTCTTTGTAATTAGTCAAACTCAACTCTCGTATCAAGTATTTCATCACCCATGTCTTACTATATCAAAGAGCTTTCCATCTAAGATAGCAAGTCCTGGCAAGTGCCTCTTGAGTGTAAACACATTTATTAAGGTGCTTGGATGTGTAGAATAGTCACCTTAAATCAATATTGCTTATTGTTTTGACAAGCCTAGAAACCGGTAGTACAAGAATTTGGATCAGTTCCAGAAGTGTTGAGTAAGTACCACGAAACCATTTGTAAACTATTTGTGTGGATTTGTGAACAATGTTCAGTGAATGCTATGTTATCCAGGAGAGCATTTCTTTTGATGGGACAAGCTGTGAGGCTAAAACAAAAGAAAACACACAAAGCAAATAAAGTGATGTTGGTCCATAATCCATCAAGCAATACATTTATTAGGACCAACCAAAATGTCTCAAAAGCTTTCCATTTCTCTAGAGCTCTTCATCAGACTGGGATATTATATATATAACAGTTTCCTTCACTGCACCCTCCACTGTTGCTTTGTTCTTTTATTATCTATGAAAACAAAATATAGAGGGGGTTTTTTAATGCTCTAAATATTAAGTATTTCCCACCCAGTGCATCCAAGCAAAGAATAGATAAACAAGGTACTTTGTTAACACAGTGTAGACATTTAATAACTCATACAGATTTAAGGCAATTCATTAATAACAGAACCATCCATTTTGGTGAGCAGATAGGAAGGATGCAGTAATGGCCTTTACTTCCCAGTATTTGTTTATTCAGTCACTACATTTATGGCAAAAAGGATTTTCTGTAGCAGTGGAAAATGTGAGAAAAGACAAGGACAGACTGGAATCAAGAAAGCTCTCAGATGGTAATTACATGCACTGGCAACAAGCCAGCAGCTTCCACTGCAAAAATAGAGGAAAATGCTACTGTGATGTCAAGACTGTGGTACAGGCCCCAGCACTGGCAAGCAACCCACGTCTGAGCTTGACCCAGTCAGAAGAAAGGGGAGCAGGACAGAGAAGCTGAAAGGCAAAATGGAACAAATACGATTTCTTACCAAAACCAAATCAATCAGAATTTTACCCTTCTAATGCAAATTTGGGGGGGGGGATATATAAATCACACAGAAGGAGGAGATTTCTGTGCAGCATGCAACAAAAAACCACCTGGCACCAGTTGGACCTTGAGTTTTCCCTAGCTTCAGAAATGGGACCGATTAAGTATTAACATACTCCATGCCACCAAGCATTATTTGGGTATAATAAGGGCATTAATCATGAAGAGGTTTGGGAAATGACAATTTGTGAATTAATAACAGCCAAAATGGTGACCTGTCAAGTAATGGCTACCTCTCCCTGTAGTGTAATTGGGGTCTAAGACTCAATGCACACATTACTGCAGTGTTGACAGGGCCGACCCACCCAGGAGGCAAGGCAAGGCGACTGCTTCAGGTGACAGGATCCACAGGGGCAGCAGATCTGACCTCCAAGGAATGCCACTGGCACTGCTGCTACATCCTTGGCAGCTCCCCACCCCAGGTCACCCCTCCAGCGACCTCTTGGTGCATATTAGGCACTGCTAGTCTCCTCCCCAGATCGTATTCCCAATGTCTTGTTGTTATTGTTAAAATACCCTTCACCCGTGGATCTTCACTCACCCCTTCTTCCATGGTGCGGGAGTGGGGGCGCGCGTCATTTTGTGCTTTTCCTCAGGTGCCAAAATGTCGGGCTGGCCCCTGTGGGGTAGCTGGCTAAACCTCTACAGACTTGCATCAATTACCCAACAACAACAACAACAACAACCTGCTTGTGTGAGTTTCCTGCTTCTAAGGGACTCGCCTAGAATGTACACGTGTCTGGAAGAAAGACGTGGTTGCTAATCATGCCATTGGGAACGGCTAGTTTGTATGTGTGTAATATAATAATAATAATAATAATAATAATAATAATAATAATAATAATAATAATTCATTTATTATTTATACCCCGCCCATCTGGCTGAGTTTCCCCAGCCACTCTGGGCGGCTCCCAATCAAGTGTTAAAAATAATACAGCATTAAATATGTATTTTGTTATTGTTTTTATTCTTGTTTTTGGTGTTTTTATCTTTCATTGTTTATGTTGCGAACTGCCTTGAGATGTATGGATAAAGGGCAGTACAGTGGTGTATCCAATTTTAATAATAACAATAATAATAATAGTTTGACACTATTAATGTTAAGGGAGAACAGCCTTTAAAACACCCACCCTAGGAATTACTGGGGCGGGAAGAGGATGCGAAGGAGGAGACAAAAAAACACCCTCCGTAAGATGCGATTAAGGAAAAAAACCCAAACAGATGCGAAGCAATCTTGCCGGAGGTGGAGGAGAAGAGGAGAAAATCCACACCCCGGATTCCCTTGCTCCTTATTGGCCCGCCTCCGCCGCTGCCACCCCCGATCCCCGTCGTCGCGCCTCCCGCCCGCGCCGCTCCCCGACATGGGCTGGGCGAGCCATTCCTCCCGAAGGGACGCCGCCCCTGCGCCCGCCCGCCCCTTTTTCCCTGGCTCTCCCAGTCAGGCGGCTGCGCTGTCACCCCGCCCAGGCGCCGCGGGGCCCTGAGGAGCCGGCGTGCCGGGCACTGATTGGAGAAGCCGCTTGACAACCGCAGCCAGGGCTCTGCCGCCACTACACAAGCCGGGCCAGGAAGGCGAGGAGCAGCTGGGCGCCAGGCTGCTGGCGACGGGACCCTCTTCCCCTCCTTCCCTCCCTGCCACTACCCCGGTGGCGAGGCTCCGCTTGCCGCCATTTTGCGCGCCCCCGCCAGCCCCGGTCTCCCCTCGCCGCTTTGGGAGGGAGCCTCCCCTGAGGTGAGCCTCTGTCTCTTCCCTGAGGGATGGGCCCTACGGCTGCCCTGGCTTGGGTGGGTGGCGGCGCCTCCGCTGAGGGGGGAAAGAACCGGGTCGAAGGAGCGGGAGGGTGGGAAGGGATGCCCGGGGCCTGAGGGGAGGCCCCGAGTGAGTGCCCGTTCGGGGGGCACCCCTTGGAGGCGTTGGCAGGGCAAGGGCTTGGCGCTGGTGGTGGTGGTGGCGGCGGGAGGGGCGAAGCGACAGCCTCCTTTGGGCTGCTTTGGTGCTGAATGAGCGAAAGGACCATTTTCTTTACCCCCCCCCAAAAAAAACCCCCCATCCTGCTTATTTGTCTCCCGTTGAGTCAGTGCATGCTTCGTCGCCACGGCTGCCTCTCCTCACCCTCCGCCGGCCTCGCGAGGGGAAAGTGTTGTATGCGTGTGCATTGCTGCTGAATTTTGTCCGTTGCCCATGGTTTTGTTGCATTTTGCTTCCCGTTCTCTGGCGAACGTCTCCTCCTCTCGTCCCCGCACCTCCCTCTTCTGCCTTTGTTATTGCAGCATTATTAGTAGGGCAAACCTCCCAGAACGGGTTAAGCACCTGCAAAGCTGCTCTCCCTAAGTAACCCAGATCTGTCCTGGGCACATAAGAGACATTGTTTGTCTGTGCTGTGCTTGGTGTGCTTGACAGGAGAGGATGCCTGAAACAGGTTTGCAGTGTCACTGTCTGGAGGCAAAAAAAGAAAAAGATGGGGTGTTTTTATAGCCTGTCTTACCTGCTCTGAGGTTTTTAATTGTGCGTTTTCCCGAGGAAGCATTCCAGTTTTGTGTCCTAAAGTCCCTGCTCCTAAGTAATGTCATTGCAAAGGATGGCCTTATTGTGTCACAGCACAGTAGCTTTTTCAGCATGTTTTAGCAGGAAAAACTTGAGTGTCAAGTATCCAGTTCCCTGTTACAATCCTTTGTTCACACAACTGATCTGCAGTGAAGGAAGGGTGGGTTCGTGGATGCATGCATGCGCATGCTTCTTTTAGAATGTGTTTAGTTTAGTGACAATCCTGTGAGTGTACGAACGAAGGGTGACAGTTATTGTGGATGCATTCTGAATAGAGGAATGCAAACTTGACAAAACATATTGGCAGCAGGCAGCTGCAGATGTTGCAGCGACTGTATACAATAGCTCGAGACAATAATGGAATACTTTGTTCTTTGTTTGAACAAAGAACAAATCAATTTGTTGACAACCTTAGTTTGAAAGTTGCCATGAACATAATAATGAATGCCCATGACTTTTCAGGAGTCCCATGTGTCTGTGGTGTATTCTGGTTTGGAAACCTGAATAGCAATAGGTCAAACATGAGAAAGGCTAAATAAATATAATATGCTGATATAACTGTTATGCTAGTGACCCCTTCCTATTTCTATATGGTAATATTTTGAATAGCCTTTTCTCCTCTTCATCTCCTGATTAATTGCTGTAATTAGTTTATTTTATCACCTTCCTTTGGTTCTTGCTTGGCTCATCTATTTAATTTGATAATCTTTTAGACAAATAATAGTTGGAGAATAAATTATAGCAGGTGAAAACAAGAGAATGCAAAGCTATTTGACAACAAAAAATTATTCATTTTGGCATAAATGGGGCAACATAGATCATGAGAATTATTTTAGCTTACCACTCTGTAAAGGTGCAAAGGCTGTGGCTTTTCAGTGCCCCATTGGTCGGTCACAGATAACTTCTGCACTTGGCTATTCTTGAAGCCTCCTCATGGGTTTTCTCTTTCACAAATATTTTCACAAAATTTTGGTGCCAAATAAATTTTCTAGGAGCCGCTTGAAAGTAAGAAGTAGATATCCCAATGTAGGTGCCTGGCAAAAACATTCCTCTTCTCCCAGGCCTTTGGCTAATTATGCAATCTTTGGCCTATGAAGGACAGCATAGAAATTTTAATAATGATGATGATGATGAGAGTTTTATTCTTGCTGTTATGCTGCAGGCTCTTCCCACCCCACTTCTCCCATATAGGGTTTACTTGAAAGATGCCAGGCTGAAATCTATCTAGGAATCATAGCTAATATTCCCTTGAGGTTCCCCTCATTGTAGTACTTCCAAAGAAACCTTTCTGTCCTCTTCAGTAATCTTGACACCAGGATCAGTTTTCGAGACACTGGATTTTTGCATCTACCTCCTGTCTGCAGCACTGTTGCATTTTTATATCTTAGGTTCAATCCAAGCACTGTGGCACTACCAGAAAAGGTGTGCTAATTATGATAGAGCTACCATCTTCCTTTCATCCCTAGCATAAGGAACATACTGTATAGTAATTTTGTGCCACCTGACATGCATCCTTTCTGGCAGGCCAATAGACTACAGCTATGGAGCAGGAGGATGTGAAGCATTTGCTCTTTATTTATTGAATGGAGGTTTTGGTTTTTGCAATTAGAAGCAATTGTTTTCCCTTAGTAAGCCAAAGAGTTGAAAAATAGTGGGTCACTGAGTGCTTTTGCTTTGTCGTGGCCTGGCTTGGGTAATATTGCCGAAGCACAATCCTTCTAAAACAAAGCAATTCTACTTCTCCTTTTATTTCAGTCAGAGGGTTAAACATATGCATTTCCTTACCATAAAATAAAAAGGGGGTAAAAGTGCTTGCTTTTTATTGGAATGCCCTATTTATATTATTATAAGAATGACTAGAATGGGTGCTGTGAAGAGCTGAAAAGCACTGGGATTTTCCCTTTAAGTGCATATAGTTGTGTGGAATGTTTATTGTAAACCAGTGGTGGGGAACATGTGGCCCTCCAGATGTTGCGGCACTACAAATCCCATCATCCTGGTGCTGCTGGTTAGGGCTGATGTGAGTTGTCCTCCAACATAATTTGCAAGGCCACAGGTTCCCACCCCTGTAATAAACAGTGGATATGTGTTATAATCACAAAATAAAGGGCACTTTTTATCCATATTCAAAGTTATTGACCCTCAAATATGCTTCTTACTGAACAATAAGTAATACATGGTCATAATGTAAATAAATCTATGTACCTTTTAAAATTTAAATGCTACCTTAATACCTATTTGCCACAAATACTTATCCTTAGCCTTTGATTAAAAAGCTGTTAGGAGAGGCTAAATATGGAATAATAAACTAGTGTCTTGGCCCCTAGGTGCCTGCCTGTCTTTTTGTGTTGCAGAAATTGTGCTTTGTCAGGATGTGTTTTAAATAATAATAAATACTATGCCAAATGCATATTCAGTTATTTGCATATTAATCTATTTTAGTTTTCTGTTGTATATTGAACTTCTGTTTACAATTACTTTAGATGCTACTGTGCTATTGGGGAGATAAATCATTACACAATAGCAACTAATTTTTCAAATTATGGGCTTGAAGGACTGTCTCAAATTGAGGGTGACCTTAAGTACAGTTTGTTCCCTTTCTAAAGAAGATTGTAATTTCTTTATTAACACTTCAGTTTAACAATCAAAGAAATGAAAGGAACCAACAAGTGCTTCAGGCAGGCTTCAATACTAAACACACTAGAGATGGGAAGTACCATACTAGTACATTCTTCTGACACATACATAGGATTGTACTGTTGGCGAGCCTGTTGTTTCAAGGCAGAATTACCTGACAACTTGTGTTCTGCAATATGATCGTGTTAAAGCCACATTGCATCACACAGTTCATCTAGCTTGCTGAATAAATATACGAAGAGAGCCAAACCACAAGCTACAGCGGAGGGAAGAAACTTAGTATTAGATATACTCACAGTAATTTAGCTCTAAAGGCACTAAATTATAATTAAAATATAATCTTAGCATCTATAAAATGCATTTATTAATTTGTGATTTAAGACAATGTTCAATTTATTACCTTAAAGCAGCCTTTAAGAAATAAATTGTTACTTGCGTACTAAGCCTTAAATCTTGTACTCACTTATCTGGAAGTAAGTGGGATTTACCGTACTTCTAAGGCCTCATCTGCACTATGTATTTAAAGCAGAATTATTGATTGATTGATTGCATTTATATCCCACCTTTCCTCCAGCAAGCTCAAGGTGGCGTAAATAGTTCTCCTCCCCATTTGATCTTCACAACAACCCTGTGAGGTAGGTTGAGCTGAGAGTGACTGGCCCAAGGTCACCCAGTGAGGTTTATGGCTAAGTGGAGATTTGAACCTTGGTTGTACAGGTCCTAGCCAGACATCCTAACCACTACACGACACTGGCTTTCCATTATATCACTATATCACTTTAAACAGCTGTGGCTTCCCCAAAAGCACCATGGGAAGTGTAGTTGCTGAGAGAGTGCTGAGAGTTGTTAGGAGATCCCCTATTTTGCTCCCCAAGCTACAATTCCAGCGTGGTTTAGCAATCAGTCCCTCTTCCCAGGAAACTCCTGCAACTGTAGTTCTGTGAGGGGAATTGGGGCCTCCTAACAGCTCTCAGCACCCTTAAACTTTAGTTCTCAGGCTGCTTTGCAGGAAAGCATAACTGTTCAAAGTGGTTAGCTGCTTAAAACTGTCTTTACTACTTTAGTGCAATATAGTGTAGATGAGGTCCAAATACAGGTATACATGCATAAGATTGCACTGTAAATTGGAAGTTGCAAATAGTGAGAAGGTAGGAAGTTTTTCAGGCAGGAAAATCTCTCCACCTTTTCAGATACCTATGGAAGGCATGCAAGCAGGACCCGAGCACAGCAGCATTCTCCTCACTTGTGATTTCCAGCAAGCTTTCCAGCAGTGGCCTACTAGCCTTGATAGCCTTATCCTTCATAAATTTGTCTAATCCCCTTTTAAAGTCATCTAGTTTTGGGGACAAAGTGCATCTGCAGAACAGAGGAGAGAAGTGGTTTCAAAAATAGGGCTGCGAAGGTGAAAAGGAGATTTAGTAGTTGCATAGGGTGGGAAGGGGAAGCTTTAGGGGGCTAATGTTGGGAAGTGCTGGTGGTGGGGTTGGACAGCAGAGCAAGCGGTGGGGCAGAGCCCTCCCAGCATGCATGTTTGTTTATTGTCTTAATAT